TGATTGGGATTGGGAGGAATCCACAGAACAATTTGGTAAGGACTTACAGCTTGACAATATTGAGTGTTCCAATCCATACCTAGGATAGTTTTCCATCAGAGATTTTGATCTTTCAATAGAGTTTTGCTGTTTCTCTCAAATACATCCTTTAAATATTTTGTTGTATTTATAGCAAAGTGGTTTTGAATGTTGAATTGATATTCTGGAATTAATCCCACTCAGTCATAGAATAAAATTATTTTTATGCACTGTTGGATGTGATTAGTTATTATTTTTGTATGTATTTGCATGTATACTCATGGTAAGTACTGTTCCATAGGTTGTCTTTATTCCAAATTGTTGTTTTTTTTTCTCCCAGATCATTGTGTGGTTTTGGTATCAGAGTAATTCTGACTTCACAAAATGAATTAGAAAATGGGGTCTCTGTTTCTGCTTTCTGTAGAATATTGTAGAGAATGAGATATTTTCTGCATAAATTTGTGGTAGTATTCACCTGTAAAACCATATAATGCTTTCTGGTGTAGATGGTGAGTAAATACTGATTCATTTCTTTAATAGATATAGGACCATTTAAGTGAGCTAGTTCTCATTCTGTGAGTTTTGGTAAATGACATCTTTTAAAGAATTTGTTCATGTCTTCTTGTTATCTGGACTAGGTTCTTTGCAAGTATTCTCAGTTCTATTCATGCTAGGTGAGACAAGAAGCTGGATATTTCTGATTTTTCTCCCCAAAAATTGGGTAAGGCTCTGGTAAATGTGTTGCATAGAATTTTGGCATCTGTTGAGGAGAACATCTGGTATATTTACCAAAGCTTCCTTTCTTTTGATATTTGAATTGTTATGTAATGATTGTACAATGTGATAATTCAATGCATGTATAAAATGTGTACTAACCTACTTGGAATAAGTAGCAATTTGAATTCCTTATACATTTACCATTTCTTTGTGTTGAGAATGTTTCAACTTCTCTCTTCTAGTGTTTTAGAAAACACACAGTGAATGATTATAAAGTATCATCACCTTGCTTGCTATACAGGACTAGGATTTTCTCCTGTTTGACCCATTATTCCACCTCCCTCTTTCCTGTCAGCTAATCAAGGTCTCTATACCACATTCTGCTTCTGGGACAGCAATGATCTACCCATCCCTTCCAACCACAGTGAGAAGCTTGCAGTTCTTAGACATAGAGCCCATGAAGACGTGCACACCTCATCTCCAGGTTGGGCTCTGGATGTCCTCATTCTCACAGTGATAACACTGTCCATAGCTATTTGTCAAAGTCATCGTGTGTGTGTGTGCATGTGTGTGTGTGTGTGTGTGTGTGTGTGTGTGTCTAGCACGTGACTGTAGAGAGACATCTCTCAACACACATTTTTCACAGAAGCTGATCCCAACCAAGACAAAGAATATATCATTCCACAAACAACCAGGTGATATTTTTCCCAACACTTTTATTGTTAAAAATTAATCAACAATTAATTGTGTGTATATATGGGTACAGAGTGATCATTCAATGCATGTGTGCAGTGTGTGATGATTAGTGAATTAACATATCCATCACCCTCAACATTCATCACTTCTCTGTGGTGGGGACATCACTGGAATCTTCACTACCAGCTATTTCAAAATCTACAACCAGCAGCTGTGGCCCACAGCTACCCCACTGAGCCAGAGAGCACTTGGAGTCACCCCTCCTGTGAGCATCACCCTGTGTCCCTGCCCTCCTCTCAGGTCCTTCCCACACCCTCCCCAGCTCTGGTAGCCACAGCTCCTCCACTTCTAGGATTGATCTCTTTTTGACAAAAGTAGTTAAATTGCCATGTCCCTTTTAGCATCTTAAGTAAATAAATTAATAATTGAGCAAGCAAGCACACCATCAGACCATTGGTAATTATAAGTGATAATATTTAGATCCTTTTATGCACACTGCTCTGAGATTATTACCTTATAAATAGTCTCTTTTGTTTTTTACAGATATCCCTTCTGTTTGGGTAACGTGTCACACACCTGTAATCCCAGGTTTTTAGGAGGCTGGAGTGAAATAATCACTTGAGCCCAGGATTTCTGGGCCTGCCCAGGCACCGTAGCAAGGCTTGTCTCATGAAATTTAGGAAGCTGTGTTTACCAAGTCCCTGCAACTCCAAAGCGTGGACTTTGGGTTGACTTCTCAGATACCTTCAGAAAATTATCCTCTTCCCTGCCATTAGGGGGAGCCCAGAGATGTTGCTCAGCTCTGTTTCACTGAATTATTTGTATGTTATTTTTCACTGTTATTGGCCCACATCTCTGGTGCAGATTAATGGGATTCACAGTGACTTACACACCCAGGCCTGCATGGGGCATTGGTCACGGCTGCCCCTCCACTCTACTCTCCCTCCTGCCTCCCACAGCACCCAGCACAGTCCCTGGCAGCCCCCTCGACTCCAGTCCCTCTCTGTTTGGGTTTCTGTTCAGGAGAGGGAGGTAGTGATATCTGCCCTGCTGTTTCTGTCTCATTTGGATCACCTTGACGTCCTCTAGCTCAGCCATTTTGCTGTCAGTGACAGGATTTCAGTCTTCTTTATGTCTGATAATCCCTTGGGATTTCTCTTGATTCACTGGTTGCCAGGTGCACAGGTAATTCTATATTTAAAAATCTGCCTAGTAATTTAAAACTATGCAATACATTAGCATCACCTGAGGTCACCAGGCAGTGTGATAGATCCCTAAAGCACATTCCTCCAGTGTAACTGAAGCTCTGCATCTTTGGACACATACTCTTTCTTCCAACACCCCCTTCCCACCCTTGGTAACCACCCTTCTGCTCTTTTTCTACAAGGTTGACTTGTTCAGATTCTACACATAAGTGACATCATACAGTGTTTATTTTTTCTGAGCCTGCCTTATATCTCTGCACAGTGTCCTCAAGTTCCTTTCATGTTGTTATACATGACGGCAATTTCTTCTTTCTCAAAGCTGTATAATATTCCATTGTGTATCTATGCCTCTTATTTGTTTGTTATTAAAGTTATACATGATAGTGAGATGTATTATTCCATGTTCAGATATGCAGGTAACAAGATTCACTCAATCTCATTCCTAGTACCTTCCTTTTCCCTCCCCTCTCCCTTACTTTGATCTGTTGTTCTACTCTGATAATCTCTTTTCTAGTATTATTAATATTATTATTTTAATTATGAAATAAATATTATGCATATCACCAAATACATGTGATTCACTGTGGTATTTTAGAAAGTGACCATTGTTGAGTTTCCATTCCAGGTAAGCAGGGGAGATGGGAAGAACATGCATGTTTGTAGGGGAATCCCTTGTGCTCCGTGCACAACCTCCTTGCCAAGGCACCACAGAATGGAGAGCAGTGACTGAGATTGGGGTCTCTCATGACCTCATGGCTGCAGTGTTCCTGGTGCCTGGGAATATTTCTATTGTGAATTGTAACGGGTGAGGTATTTTGTTAATGTCTAGATATTACCTAGCTGCTGTGGTATTACCCTGCATGAGGAGACTCTGAGGAAGAGTCTTATGAGCTTCATCCTTGATCTCAGGAGCATAGCTTCAGGGGGCAGAGGAATTCTCATGCTAGATGACCACAATGTTTCCCTAGCTCTGCTGGCCTGCTTAACAGTAACTTTAAACAATGGACCTCCTTGAGTGCTACACAAAACTCCTTACATTGCAACTATGGATTGCAACTTGGGAAAGCTGCATAGGTGTTTCTAGTTCTGTAACTTTCTCAGTACAAAGAATAATGTTTTCATAGTCTTTAACCTGGTAATGATACACATATAATAAAGACTGTTGGCATAACTCTTTAGATCTCCTTCTCCATCAGAGAGCAGCACACCACCTTATCCCAACTATCTTTATTTTCTAATCCCCCATCACTCCTCACCAGAATTGTGAGTTTGTCCACCCTGGTTGTGGCTCTACAGGCGGGATTCAAGTTCTTACTGAAGTCATCCATTGCTCACAAGCACTGAAGAAAGTTTAGAACATAATAGATGAAATGAAAATAAAATTAGAGTAAATGTTCGCACAATTCACTCACCTGCTCATTAATGTCTACAAAAAAAAATGTAACAGGTGAGGTATTTTGTTAATGTCAAGGGAAGGGGTCATGATTTTTGTCAGCACCAGGAATTTTTAAACAAGAAGAGCAAGATTATGTCCTGAATAGAAAGAACTTGATGCTGAATCCTTCAGGCACTGAATAAATTCCTTTGTGCAGACACCAAGATTTCACATTTCAATGAGTAGATGTACATTATCAAAAATAGACCTATCATAGAGGTATGGCTGAAAATTCAACGTCTGATTGAAACTTGAAAACATAAGTTCCTCTGACTCTAAGATCACACTAAGTCATTGATGTGTGTGATTTGTCCTTCTTGGTGTGTTTAATATAAACATGTAACATCACACACGTTTAATGTGCATTCAATTGAAGTTTTTCATTATTACTCTTTACCATGAAATATACCATGTTTTTGAAAACTGTGCTGAATAAGAGCATCATATACCTGTGAATATACTCTCCCACGATGAACTATAAAATCACTGGTTTGTTGAAGTTTATATTATAACATAGACCAACTAAGGCAGCTTTGTAGACAGCAAGAAAAAACAAAACATTGAAGAATTGTGGTCTCAGGTTTTTTTTCTATAATAAAATGACACACGACCCAGCTGCAAGTGCAGTTCATTCCAGGATTAGTGCATCTTCTTTCTGTGGGACTGTTGGGAATCTCTAAACCACACCTGATCTGAGATCTAGAAGAACACTGGGAAAAGGAGAAAGAGAAAAACATTGGCTAACAGAGTAGAAAACTTATTAATGAGGTTGTCTACATTCAACAAAGAAGTTGAAGTGAAAGAATAAAAACTACAGGAAATGAATGAAAGAGCACATTCTACATTAGGATCTGATTAAAGGACTGTGATTTCTAGCTCTGCAGGTGAGAGCAGTAGGACCCCAGGCACTTCCTGAAAAAACATCACCGCTATAGCTTGCCAACAAAGAGTCTCCTCAGAGCTCCCGTGATGTCCTTATTCCTCAGACTGTAGATGAAGGGGTTCAGCATGGGGGTGACCACACTGTACATCACCGAGGCTGTTGCACTGGAGTGTGAGTTGTGTGTAGTAGATGAGCTAAAGTAGACTCCTAGGCATGTGCAATAGAATAAGGAGACCACGGAGAGGTGAGACGCACAGGTGGAGAAGGCTTTGTACTTGCCTTGAGCTGATGAGATTGCACGGATGGAGGAGACTATCTTGGAGTAGGAGTACAGGATACCAGCAAGGGGGCCACAGAACAGCAGTCCTGCTGCAAAATACATCACCATGTCATTAGGAAAAGTGTCAGAACAGGCAAGCAGAACCACTTGATTCAGTTCACAGAAGAAGTGTGGGATTTCCAAGTCCGTGCAGAAGGACAGTCGCAACACCATTAAGCTTTGCAGCAGGGAATTCAGGGCACTTGTGATCCAGGATGCCAGCACCAGGGACACACAGAGTTGGCGGTTCATGATGACCGTGTAGTGCAGAGGGTGACAGATAGCTACAAAGCGGTCATAAGCCATCACAGTTAGAAGGAAATTATCCAAAACTCCAAAGAGTATGAAAAAATATATCTGTACGATGCATCCTTCATATGTTATGGCCTTTCTGTCTGTCTGGATGTTCACCAGCATCTTGGGGACGGTGGTGGAGGTGAAGCAGATGTCCACAAAGGACAGGTTGGAGAGGAAGAAGTACATGGGCGTGTGCAGGTGGGAGTCTGAGATGGTGGCCAGGATGATGAGCAGGTTCCCCAGCACAGTGACCAGGTTCATGGACAGGAAAAGCCCAAAGAGGAAGGGTTGCCATCTGGATTCCTCTGAAATTCCCAGAAGTAGAAATTCTGAAATCCGTGTCTCATTCACTGACCCCATGTGGTTGTTGTAACTAAAAAAAGAGAGAGTAAAAAGAACATGTAACTTGACACACATACTACCATTTCCATTTCACACTTAAGACACTGTTCCTATGTTTTGTGTATGAATCTTCTCCCCTTTGGGGATCCCTTTTCTGTCTTTGATTTGGAATCCCAGTCCCACCCTCACCCTTTCCCAATAGATTATGTATTCAATAATTTGAATTTACTTTATGCATTTAAGGAATTTAATTCAGTGATGATCATGTTCCAGGAAAAATCTAGGCAATGATCAGGGCTAAGCAAGCAGGTATTCCTAATCTCTAATGATGAAGAAATAATGCAAGCACATATAAGGAGGGGAAGAAATAATCATGTGGCAAGCCAAATGGTGACAGCTACTATTAAGAGAAAAAAAACAGCTATAAATGAGAAGATTGAGAGGGAGTCTAATTTTGTACAGGTGTCCAGGCAAGACAGGCCAGTAAGTGGCATTTGAAAAGAGACCTCCAGGAAGACAGAATGGGAGCCACCATCTCCAGAAGCATGTGCCTGGCTGGAGGTATGTCTAGTGCAAAGGCCCTGAGGAAGGTGCCTGATGCAAATTTTCAAAATCCCCAAGAGCAAGGAGAGGGTGACATGAGCAGGTATCAGAGAAGAATGAAGAACAAAGCAGCCTCCCACTTGCTGCAGGTTCAAGATGCCAGGAGCTTCTGTCCAGGTGTTCCTGCCTTGGCCTTTTATTAAGTTGCTTGACAAGGTGCCTGTGTGGATTGAAATGTAATCCTGGTTCATTTCCATCTGGTGCCTGATGTTCTGACCTCTGGAGTATAAAGTGACTTTGGGAATATATTAAATCCAGGTCCCCCTTTTCTGAAACCTACTCTCACCTTTATAGGCAGACACACACAAAACACACACTCCACAAAAGCACACCACCAGCCCTGAGCTCCCAGCCCTGTGTGAATGCCATCTGCTTCTCACACCCAGTGTCACTATTCAGAGGGAATGGACACCAGGCGAGCTGTCTGTATCAATGCCTCATTCTGCAAAGTGAGGTAAAAGATGGTGCCCAGCTCCAACTTTATGTGTATCTACAAAGCACCAATTAAAAAGACAATAATTAAACAGAAGGAGAACGAGTACAGTGAGAAAGGGGCATGGGGAAGGGAAAGATGAAGGACCAGGGACCAACATGGAGCAAATTCTATCCCATGCATATGGGGCTCCTTCAAAATGACCCAGATATTATGCATAACTACAATGCACCCATAAAAACATTTAGAAAAGGAAATAACGACAAGAAAAAAGTGGTACCCCAAAATCCCAGTTTGAAAATTTCCCATAGACACGTGACCTGGAGGGTCCTTTTGGCATTGCCATTTTCTACCCTGTGGTTAAAGGAATATAAGAAATCTGCTCAACAAGGAGAGAAATTAAAAGACCTTGAGGGGAAAAACACTGATGAGCTCAGTCCCCAAGAGACTGTATGGAAGAAAATGGCCCCTATTTCTGGCAGCATTCACCTGAGGTTATATCCACTGTGGACTAGGAAAAAATGAACGAAATAGCAAGGCAAAATTTCTCAAAGTCAAATGTGGTAATAATGATCATTTGGTCAAAGACACTTAGAGATGGAATTTTGGGAGGGGAAGTGGTATTGGGGATTGAACTCATGGGCACTTGACCACTGAGCCACATCCCCAGTCCTATTTTGTATTTTATTTAGAGACAGGGTCTCACTGAGTTGCTTAGTGCCTCACTTTATGCTGAGACTGGCTTTGAACTTGAGATCCTCCTGCCTCAGCCTCCTGAGCCACTGGAATCACAGGCATGGGCCACCACACCCAGCTCAGATGAAATATTCATGTAGGAAAAAAATGTGTGAAGGGAATAATACTACAGAAATTCAAAAAGGGAAGTATACAAAGAACAAAAAAATGAGTACTTTTATATAAAATATTAGAAGATTTGTTTCTGTGACATTCAATATTGATTTCAATGATTGCTTTTATAATGTGGCATTTCATTTTTGATTGACACATAATTATTGCACACACTTATGGAGTATGACATGAAGTCTCTCTGCATTTATTTATTGTGTGATTATCAAACTGGGGTAATATTTATTATTTTGTTGTGGTGAGAATAATCAAAATCCTCCTTTCTATTTACTTTGAAATGTGCATTATTAACTCTAGTCACCCTGCTCTGCAATAGAATACCAAACCTTCTTCCTCCTGTGTAACTGACATGTTGTGCCTGTTAATAGGACTTTCCCCATTATTATTTCTGAGTAACTACCGTCTACTTCCTACTTCTCTGAAATCTACTTTTTAGATTCCACAGTAAAAACCAACTGATATCTCTCATTCTACGCAATAAGCAGGACACAGAAAGATTAATATCAACTGGTTCCGGTGTGGACAGCAGCAGAGGCAGATGCTCTCCTCATTTTCTTGTGAGGTTTGCCTTCTGTGATATTCCTGGGCTTTCTGTTTTGAACTCTTTGAACAAATCCAAAGGGCACACTGCAGTCCTGGTAATGGTCTTCCTCAAAGGTGCAAAGACACTTTTCTATAAAATCCTGCCCATGCCATGACGTTTATCCTTTTACACTGAATAAAATCCCTCACATGACTCATTCTTGACACATCACAGCTCATCACACAGCCATTGCAATGTGCTGACTGTCCTCAGCATCATGGGGCAAGATCCAAGAGGGCAGACTTTGCCTGCTTCATTCACTTCTCTGTTTCATAGCAGTGTGTGAACGTGTGTCCATTACATAGAACAAAATTAAAGAAAAGAGAAGTGATGTTAAAAGGAATAGTGGGGGACTGGAACCAGGTCAAGCTGAGGAACTTAAGATAAATGCAATAAACAAAAGTGAAGGCAGCATCAAGCACTAAATAAGAGAAGATATATAATACCAAGATTTAATGCTGTCCTGATGAATCAATAACTAAGTTGGCACAAACTTCGGCATAATTCAGAATGGTCCTTGAAAGTTGTGGCACAGAGAGATGCTCATGTGTGGAATGGATCAGAAATTCTGCCTCAGTCCAGAAACGACGACAAGGTTATAAGTTAATTTTGTTGGAAAAGTTTGAGTACTTAAATAAAACTGGTGTTAGCTATCTTTAGGAAAATGAAGTTGGTCTCCTAGTTCAGAGGAAGTGAAGATCACAGTATGAAAGTAATAAACACATTTTAGAGGATATCAGGAAATTACATATAAAGTTCACAGGTGAAAAGAAATGTTAAGTAAGGCAAGAAATTCAGAAGTAATAAGATAGATGTACTTCACTAAAAAAAAATAGAGACTTTTTTGGGGGGATTACAGGAGATTGAACGCAGTCTCTCTTTACTACTGAAATACAGTCCCAGTCATTTTTTTTTTTTTATTTTTTATTTTGAGACAGGGTTTCACCAAGTTGCTGACACTGGCATCGAACTTTTCGTCCTCCTGCCTCAGCCTTCTGAGCAGCGGGGGTTACAGGCATGTGCTACCATACTTAGCTAATATTTGAAACACTTAATGGCTAAAAATTACCACTCAAAAATCAGTAGAGAAACAAAGAACTGGAAAAATCCACTGAAATATTGATAACAATAGAAAAATAGGTTTATGATAATAATAAGCCAATCAAATTGATGCTCCATCTTGGAAACAAGAAATGCCCTCTCTTCCTATTCATCCCTCCACAGATAAGGCTCTCATTCTGATTGCCACCAAATTAATTACAAAAGTCCTTGGACACATGGATTTATTTGGAAAATGCTTCAAGCCTCTCATCCCAATTCTAGCTGAGATTCCAGGACCTCATTCTATGGTCAGGATGACTCAGGCACTGTTGAGTCAGGGTTCCCCCAAGCAAACCAACAAAAAAACATAGCCACCTCTCATCTCTGGGTGGGGCTGGAGTAGCTCTCAGATGACCTTAGGGAAATGTCCTTGGCTTCTGTCCTCTGAGAAGCTTTCCTGCAGCATCCACCACCCCCTCAGACTCACCTGGATGAGTCTTCTGAGTGGAAGGTCTCAATGTGGAATCCAAATCCTCTCTTTGATGATGCAGCCTGAGACTATGTTGCCAGACAAGACAGCAGGAAGGGGTCGAGAATCATCCCCCAGCCAGATGCAGGACTCAAAGCAAACAGCCAAGGCCCATCCAAATCAACACAGAGTACACAGAAGAGGCCAGCAGGGAGTAGCATCAGCTGTGTGTGTCTGCTCATTGGGCCCTCTCCCTCTTGTTATTCCAATCCTGAGACATGGTTTCCCACTGAGACCTTGCTCTGCACCAAAGGGATTTTGTTCTTGATGAGTTCTGTGCCCAAGGTACAAGTTTAATATCAGGGGAGTAAGTGTTTATTTTTCCTTTATAATTTTTTTTTTCTTTTAGAGATCTAACCTATTAACACGAGTCCCAAGCCTGACTGAAAGTCTTGTCCAAGATCTAAAATGCATGATCCTGTCTTGAGCAGTTCCCCTGGGTGGCAAAAGCTTTGATTTGTGCTAGGGATAACCCCTAACATCGCCAGAAAATTGACTACTCCTCTCCTTAATGAGGGAGCTGTGGTCTCTTGATATAAAATTATGAACACTACAACCCTTGGGTTCATGCTATATTTACAACAGAAGTTAAGAAGTGGTATTGAGTCTTGCATTTTTAAACCACTCACCTTTCAATAATTCAAAGAGATACATTTAGATCTTTTTCTGCACATTTCCTGAGATTAGTAACATTTAAATTTTTTCTTGTTTTGTTTTTATAAAAGTCCTTTCTTTTTTCACATTGTATTGGTGCATTATATTTGTGCATGATGATAGGATACATATTTGCACATACACACACAATATAACAATATCATTTGACCAATATCACTCCGAGCACTTCCCCCAACACTCCCCTCCTCCCACCCCTTTCTACTGATCTCTCTTTGATTTTTAGGAGTTCCACCTCACCTTGCTTTTCCTTTTTCCTAACTTATTCATATGAGAGCAAACACACTTTG